CTTTCTCTGCCGCTTCGAGCTGTCGAGATTCGAGCGCGATCACCCGACCACGCCCCTCGGCGTCTGCTTGCAGCAGTGCACACCGGATGGCAAAGTTCGAAGCGTCACAGACTACACTTATAGTTTGATCGGGGTCTGGCAGCGCCAGTATTGGTGCATGCAGGAGGCTGTCTTTGACCCTATCAAAAGCCTCCCGATACTAGGTGTCCTTATACCATTCCGTAGTATTTCTAAAGAGATTCGACAATGGCCGTGCCATTTCCGCATAATTCGCGCTTTACTTGTGCAAGTAGTTGGCAAGGCCAAGCCGCTTGCGCAAGTCCTTTTGGTTCTTTGGACCCAGCTAATGGCCTTGACCTTAGCGAGATCCGCTCGAAGGCTACGCGTACCAATATAGCACCCTAGAAATGGAATTTTCTTTGCGCCGATGATGCATCTATCTGCGTTAGCATACAACTTATTGGTGAAAATGATCTCGAGAACCGCTTTTAAATGGACGGTGTGGTTTTCCTCATCTGTTTCCCCGTGCCCCGCACGACTGTGGACGAAGATGTCGTTGAAGTATGTTTGTACATACGCCCGGTAGGGCCTGAATAACTACGTCACAAGACAAAAAAAAATTGCTGGTGCATTTGGCAGCACTTAGGGAATCACCAACCACCCCTAGAGCATTATCTCAGCTGATAACAACGTGACGGTAGTTTTAGTGCGTATAACGGTGTTGCCGTGTTGATTTGATGTCTTAAACACGTTGTAACTCGTGTCCTGTTCTAAAAACAAGACTTACGTCATATCTCAGCTGCTCACAACGTGACGATACTTTTAGTGCGCATAACAATGTTGCCGTATTGATTTGAAACATTATGATGTCGCAAAGTCAGCGGAATATCCCTCGCTCTCATGAATAAATTGTAATACCCATCGACCAAGTCGAGTGCACTGTACTTTGTACATCCAACCATGTTGTTACGGAGAACATCCTTCCTAGGAATCGGAGTCTGTGCTAGAAGGGTGACAGCGTTGAGCTTATTGTAAGCGTGAACGACACGCCACTTGCCGTTCGAGTTTCGGACACAAAACATGGGTATGGAATGAAGAGCTCTCATATCCCATTCCCGTGTCGTGCTTCGCACGGAAGAAAGCGTCAATGACGTCTCAATACTCCTTAGGCAGGGATTATTGACCTAATACACAGTATCTGGTTCTTAGCAGCCAGGTCAATCACACCTCAGTCCGGATTTCGGACTGACGGCGGGTCTTTGGAGATGACGTCTTGACATTCCTTCACCAATGAATAGCACGGATCCGAGGGATGCTTTAGGATCGAAGACCCACTTTGTGTGCTCACCGCCTTTTTTAGTGTCCTCGAGAACAGCTTCATTCAGACGCGACGTCGAGTAGATTTTATCTCTCGGTCAAATAATGATAACTTTGGCTAAGTCGCCTGCCTTCACGGCACCGCCAAATTCTCGAAGGGCATCTCGTCCGGCTCAAGATGAGCATCCACCACAGGAACAGCCTCGAGGGTGACGTCGCCGCCTTCCTCTTTCGTCATACAGTTGACGAGGGTCTATAACCATGACTGTAGACAGGTTAGACGCCTGGCGTTCTGCAGCTAGCATACCGCGTCCCTGTCGCCTCTTCACAGAGGTTGTATGTCTCGACAAGACCAGGGGGTATACGCAATCAGCGTCATCCAGTGTTAGCATCACATTCTGCTCCACAGGAGCCTTATGTTATTAAGAACATCCGACAAAGAACCGCTAGCTCCGTAGTCTTCGTTCAGTGAATTAGATGCCACTCCACGTGCATCACTGAGGCCTCTCCTTCGATGCCTCGAACTTTGGCTGACGATGCCGCGAATTGAATGCAGCAACCGCTCCAATAATTGAGAGTGCTGAGTCGGTTAGGTGCCACTCCACGTTCAGCACGCGAGCCATGCTCGTGACTTCTGTTCGATATATCTTCGGTGTTCACCAACTCGGATACCCCGATTCTACTACGTTGACCGTCCTGGTCCAGTGACCGCGCCAATAGCGTTTTTACCTCCTATAGGAGGTGGGTTCATGACTCACCAAAGCTCCACAAGGAGACGTGCGCGTAGCGCCCAAGGTCTTCGACCTCCAAACAATTCATGGCTTCTGGTGTTTTAACCATGCCATACCAAGGACAAGGTCATACTTTGCATCCAAGTCTAAGACTAAGCAGCCTTCCACGCTATCAAAGTCAAGAATTTTGACACTGAGGTCCACAGAGACCCTCGGCACAGTGACAAAAGTCCCTGTTGCTAAGCGAATCGAGACGGTGTCAATCAACCGCGCCTTTAGCGCCTCGGCGTACAGCTTCACGGCGAGTTATTTTGGCGTTAAATGATGCCTGGCTGAAGCGCTACGATAGGTGTCCCACCAGCGCGTTCTCATAACTGGTGGGCGCCTTATAATGCGCATATTGCTTTCGATCATTGGCCACCAACATCGTAATATTACTGGAACAATCGTAGGCACAATCTTTAGAGGCGTGCTTTTTTGTCGCGGGAGCATATGTAACTCAGCTTGTATTATATCTTTACCGGGATAAAGTCGAAAGAGCCTCGGCCGTAATAATAACGACAGGTGCTACCTGTTTTTAAAAGGTTGTCGAGTGCTTTGTACGGAGCAAAGTATGACCAAACGAGTCCGCGTCAACGAACCCACGGAGAACGGTTTGTACGCTCCAGCCAGAATTTTTCTGGATCCGAGAGATTTTCTGGAAAACGATACATAATTTGCCCTTCCTTTTCACGAGCGATGTATAACAGACTAAGGCTAAAACTACATTTATTCATTTTTCGTATAATAAAGCAAGACGATGCATGAAATGGCGAGATATCAAACAGCCTAAGTGCTCCACGGAACTTTCCTTTAAAACGCTTTTTCAATCATTAGTGCTAGTACTTTGGAGCTCTTGTGCTTTGCACAAAAGTGTAATGTGCATGTAACCCATATTTCAAGCACGAATCCGGATCGAATCCAGCAATTTTATTGGATATAGGTGCTGGTATGTTTCAGAAGAAACTTTCATTACAGCTGCGAATAAACCCCTATGTCTTTCCAAATTTCAGCTTCTCTTATTTTGGATCGGCCATCTCATGTTGTCTGCGACGCTTCAGCCTCTGCCATAATCGGTTGACTCCTCCAATTATCTGCGAATGGATTTAAATGTTCTATTGCATTTAAATTTCGCCATCTAAAAGCGACAGAGATGAACTATTTATATGAAAAGGCGATATTTGCTGTAAATTATGCTCTTGACATATTCAATTTCATCTGCTTGGCTCTAAGCCATGCATGATCGATACAGATTTACTTTCATTGTCGTGAACAAAGAGCTTGTAAGGCAAAGCTCTTTATAGAAATTGCTTTCCAATACACAACGATGTATGTATGATAGGCTAAGCTTACCAAACGAACAGGATGCACGACGATTGTCATGCCTTCCGGACAAATGAACTGCTCCAAATCAATCTGACAGGTTAGTGTCTGCGACACGTTGAGCTCCTATAGTACCATTTGATAATGACGAAGGTCTAATGCGATGATACATTTATGCGCATTGGCATCTGCCACCAGTGAAGCATAGCCTATGTAAAACCCGAAGCGTCACAAACGTTGTGAAATGACCGATTTGATTTTGGAGAGACCAATATCGGAGCACGCATAATTTTTTCACACCTCCGTAAGCAGCCTCTTGTACCACCCCTTGTAAGTACAAGTAACTGGTATGCCCAAGCTACTTTCTTAGGCTCCGTCGGAGCAGAGGCACTGGCCAATCTGCGATGTTCTTGATCGAATAATGCAACCCAGGTAGTATCTATATGAGCGTCAAAGACACAGTACCCCATCGTGGAACTTGCTGTGAGTTTTACCAATTGCAGTGGGCTGCAGAGCATAGAGAAATCTTTAAATGAAACAGACCCCATTAACAAACGCACAGATGTCAGGTTCGTATACTCTAACCACCAGAGAAGCGAGAGCATCTACCGTTGCTTGGTGTCATGTTATCTCCACCTTTCTACAAGTATATATACTTAATTAACGTTGCTTAACTTACACTAACTGTAAATGGTTTACTATCTCGCATGAGGAAATTGTCTTTTTATGTCCGACGTGAGATTAGCAGCCCACTTGTACCAAGGGCCTCTCCTTTCATGCTCTATCAACTTCATAAACATTGACATTTTGTTACTTATAAAAAACCAAAGTGCAGCGTGAAATTCGTAGTCTTTATGCAGCCGTACTAAATGCAAACGGTGCAATTACGCAAACTTATATCGTTATAATCAGGCCCCCCGCGAAGTTTCGAGTCGTTGCACTGCACTGGGGCAGATGGCAACTTAGTTACAAAGGATGATCCCACCGTTGTTCTGTCTTAATAAAGGACTTCGGTTAGAGCGGCATTATATTTTACGCAGGATGCCCACATTATTCTTTTCAAAACATTCAGCCAATAGCGCATTATCTTTTCAGCCACGACCTAATGAGCATACTGTTGACTCAAACTTTGCGTCATTTTTCACCCACAATGTGTGCGGTAAAGTAAGATCACCGGCGATCATTATCAATAAAAAGCTTGATTCCTGTACAATCTTGAAGTCAAGATTGTCAACGATTGTATTCAGTGAGGTGGATAAAAATTTGACAAAGCTCCACCAGCACCCATTTGCATAATGGTGGACACTGCCTTTACCTGGCACTTAGCAGATCGCTAAGGCCGTAACCGACTCAAAGCAATTTGTTAATGTATATATCTTCTAAGCGTCCATTATTAAATAGTGTGACAGGTCTATCGATCTACTACATTGATTGGCAACAAGCAAAGATGCCTGCAGGGCAGGTGAAATTTATCGAACGAAAGCAAACTGTGATAATGCGGGGCTGTGAGGCAATCTGCTAATTTCGATAAGTTACTTACATAAAAAGCATTTATTTTCAAATCAACTAGTAGACAGTATACAAGTATTTTTCAATCGAAATAGTGTCGACACAACCTAGCGGTAGGAAAGCGCTAAGCCGCAGCTAACCTGTCAGACAGCAAGCGCTTAGAGGACTTGCAGCCTCATCGAGAAAAAGTACACTGATTACACGATTCAAATCAACTGCACCCTGGGCAATTATGCAGTGAGTCGTGCACATACATGTCACATTCACTGCAAAAAAAGTTTTGGCAAGTCGTGCATTCATATGCTGCTCCATCTCCATCTAATCCAAGTGGCAAGAGACAACCAAAACACTTTTTCTGCTTCATATCGAAAGAGACCTTCGCACCTTTTTCGCCGATCACACCAGGTTGCAGCAAGTGTTGTGTAAATTTAGCTACTGGGAACAAATGGTGGTACGAACGCGCAAGATGTGGTGACGAAACTAGCGGCAAACTACACACTTGGCATGTGGTTGGCAAGTCACAGCTCTTGGATTTGCAACGTGGACACAAATATCCAACGGTTGTGAACGCTTGATGGCACGTACAGAGAGACAGCGCTCCACTCCTTCGTTGTGGAAAGCCCATTTCCACTAGTGTGGCAAAACGCGATGCCGCTGTTGCCACCGTTGGTGATGGAAACGTAAAGGTTGTCATGAGTCGTTTCATATGGTCGGCATCCATTGCAACGTGATATGTACCGTCAGTACCGTCGGCAATGCGACGCAATAAGTGCATTTCTGCTCCAATGCCAATAAAGGACACGCGAACATTTTCGCGCTTGAGTGACGTCAATGTCTGAAAAATGTCACCCGGATCGGCAGTGACCAAGTTGCCGTAAACTACAATGATCTCTCTACTACCATAAGCAGGGACTGTCTTTAAAGAGCTTCGAGCAACTTCTAGTGCATTTTGAAGCGACGGTTCCTTGTCCACAGCCAACGCTGCAGCAATTCGCTCAATGTGCGTTTTGGGATTTCCAGACAAGTCGCTTAGTTTCTCAGCCGTCATCCCTTTAATGCCAATCACACCCAGCTGCGAGATGGGGTTCTGGTCAAAATAGCCCCTCACAAATTGCTGCAGCACGTCGCTGGTGCACGCCAGACGATGTGGCTTCCAGTCTTTGATAGCCATACCACGGGATAGATCCATCACTACGTAAGTGTAGCGTATCAACCCTTTACGCACATTTCGCGCAATTTCCAAACGTCTATAGTAACATTAATAACTGGATCAGCTTGCGTACATCAACCTTAGACTACCAGTTTAGTGCACACCGCTGACGATATTGCTTCTTAATGGCTTGATCAATTTTAAGATTCCCCAAATCATCCTCCTCGATGACATCCCAACTGCGCTCAAGTGCGCCCTCCCACGAATATCCAGCTGATGCTGATGTAGGTGATATCAAAGTAGCATGAAAAGTGGTCAGTTTGCCGCGATGTGAACGGAGATCGCGTAATGAAAGTACTTTTACCTTCCTCCTCCATTATGCTGTAGAATATTAGGTATTTGACACCAAATACTGTATGAGATATTGGATATGTAAAGTCAGCAAAACTGCGACTTTTGAGCGCAATAAAGTTGCTTTAGCATCGAGAAGTTTGTGATAGTGCAGCTTGTATGAAAAGATCAGCAAAACAAAGATAAAGAATTCACTAGTTGAATGGTGTATTCACGATGCAACGTATTAATTTCCTCTTAAGGAATATCTATTTGTTTGCTAATCATCGTAAAGCTGTTTCGTTTGTAGTTGTAGAGTCGATATGAAAGCGGCATTCTCGCGGCTTCAAGGCGTGCAACTATACTTTTAAGAAATTACTTGAGTTTCGTTTTCTAAACTATTCATTTGCTTGCAGCAATAGTGGCGGCTTGAAAAAGCGAACATTGCGAAAGGATAAAGCGAAGGATGGCTACGTAGCAATAAAATAGTATTACATGGGTGAAGACTGCACATTTTCGCCTTCAGCGAAAGGCTACCATCCCTTTTCTTTCCTGCACCACGCCCTTGGTTACGAAGGTAAAGGGGCTGAGAAAAAAAGCATCAGCGTGACGTTTGACTCGAGTGATTTAGCGTCGACGTTTACTTTTTTTACGATAAGTGCACCACACCATATGCAATCTTAAAAAGACGTGTTGGATAGATACGCTTTAAGTTTTCAATTGAGTTTTGATGGGAGCTGCCAATGGGACACAATTCCGTCTTGTAAATGCCACAGTTGAGCTGCAACGTGAAACGAGAGACTTTGCGCGATGTAATACGATGGTATCGTGCTCATTTTGTAGCTTAATGCTCAATTGTCGTGTTGGTGGCGACGTGAATAGGGACGCTGGCGGATGTCGAGCAGCTGCATCGGCGCTTCAACAAAACATTCGGCTTTTCAATAACCGCAAGTCAATTTGAAAATTTGTTGTTGTGTCAAATGCCTGAAAGTGTCGGAGTTGAAGAAATTTTCGAAGCTCTGGACGTCAATCACGACGGCCGGGTGGACGGGTTGGAGTTGTTGGCAGCCCTTGCGTGTGTTTGCCGGGCGGAGTTTGAAGACAAAGCAAGATGTAAGTCAGAATCGGCTGTTTGTGACTAAGGTATAACAACTCTTGTTGCAGTCACCTTTGATCTCTTCGATTTCAACCACAATGGGTCGTTATCATTGGTGGAGTTGGTACGTAGATTTCTGGCTTCTCTGCATTCTGGGCTGATCAGTGACTACTTAGGCCTTTTTGATGAAATCTGTCTCTATTGGCATGGCACTTTTGACTGGGGTGACCACCAATTCTGAGGACGTCATGAAGCTTTGTCTTGAACTTGCAAAAAATGCATTTTCCCAGGTAGATGACGAAGCATCCATGCTCGGTTTTGACGATTTTATCGCCTGGGCTCGTCAAAATCGAGAGTTCATGCTTCAGGTTGAACACTTTCGAATTATTGCTGCCAAATCCATGGAGTTTGAAGATGCACTGTCATTACCCGAAGGCAGTGATTATGATTCAGATCTCGAAGTGGAAGAGTTTGAGATCTCAGCTCAGCGTCAAAATGCTGCTGAGCCAAAACCGGTCAAATGTTCTGCACCTTGGACGGAAGAGCCTTTGTCGCCACCTTCACCAACAGATACTGCATACGTAAGTGAGACGATTGGCATGCCACCATCTGCAAATTTACGTCTAGAGTGGGTCTATGGAACCGGCGGACCATCTGTCCGCAACGCCTGTCGCTTCGTAGCAACAGGAGAAGCAGTTTATTTTGTAGGAAGTTATGCTGTCTTATATTTATGTGAGCGTCATGAGCAGCGCTATTATCGCGGCCATCGATGTGCCATAGGTTGTCTGGCTGTGAATGCTAGTGGGGAGCTAGTCGCAACAGGTGACGCCTCTTGCAACAATGTTGGAGCTGAAGTGCATGTCTGGAGCGCAAAATCCCTTCAATGTCTCGCAGCATTACGCAACTTCCATCCTACTGGAATCGCACACGTCTTTTTTCCTGCGGCAGCATCGGCGACAACTGCCACACTTCCACAGAGTCAAAGCTTGATGAGGGGTGAACGAAGCAGTGTACTTGGAAAGTCTGCCGTAGTATTAAGCTGTCATATACGCAAGAAGAAATCACACGAGACAGATGTCTTACTTGCATCAATCGGTAGTGACACAAGCGCATCAATGGCGCTTTGGAATTGGCAAGAAGGAGCTGTTGTGGCCTCAGGTCGAGCACAACGAAACATACATAGCAAAATGGGTCGTTCTGGCAGCAGTCGACCGCTGGCTTGTGCGCTGAATGAAGACGGCGATGAAATTGTCGTTGTGGGTGCCCATTTCATCAATTTTTATCATGTTCATGGCCAGTTTTTCAAGCAAAAAAAGCCTCACTGGCACGGAATTATGGAACCAGGCATGCAGACCGTGCCTGTGTGTTTAAGTGTAGTTTACTATGGTCTTCAATCGGTCGTTGTAGGAACTGGACGAGGCGAGCTACTACTTTTTGACCGCCACACGCTGACGCGAAGTATACAGGCACATGAACCTTTGACCAGCGTCAACGTGTGCTTTTTGTCCTGTCACTCAATGGTACTCTTCACAGCTGGCAAAGATGGCCAGATCAAACAATGGGACTCTACACTTCATTCCATTGGACACGCTCTCAATCTACACACTTCCCTGCCTATCTCGTCATCTTTTAAGTCTTCGATTATCCAGCCTGGTAACGCTCTCGAAAGTGATGATTTGCGTATCTGCTCACTAGATTATGATGCACAGCGTCGACGTTTTCTAGTCGCGACTCGGATGGGAAATATTTTCGAGCTAGACGACAAAGTGGATGCTTCTGCAACGCCGCCAATTGTTGTGGCGACAGGACATAAGGGTCCAACGCGCAGTATTGCAGCTGCAATTACCGTTGGTGGCATTTTTGCATCGTGTGGGATGAATGAACGGTCGGTGAAAATCTGGAGCCTCCGTCGTCGCACACTTTTACAGCATCTCTGTTTTCCTGGGGCCTCAGAGATCCCTAGTGCACTAGCATTCAGTAGCGATGGAGAGTGTCTTGCTATTGGAAGCGAGGATGGTATGGTGCTTCTTGCACGACGAACGAATGGAATATCTCGGATACACATGACCACCGAGGCACTCATGAAAAACACGAATGCGGCAATTAGGACGATGCGATTTGGGCCTTTAGAGACAGATCCATTACTTGCAGTGGCGCGTGCCAACGGTCTGATTTATCTTTACAGATTCGAGTCCGAGGGTCCAAAGTTTTCTCGCTATATGCTGCTACATTTTCAAACACAAGACATTACAGCCGGATCGGAGGATACATACGCTCACGCCCTTGACTTCAGCGTCGACGGGGGTTTTCTTCGAGCCCAATATGGCAGCTCGATGCTATGTATCTGGGATCTTCGCAAACGTGCCGGAACACGTGTCACCTCGAGGAGTATCCTTCAAATGATACGATGGCAAACGCACAGTGTTTCGATCGGATGGGATGTCGGTGGATTATCTCTAAACGCTGGTGACTGTGCGGTGGCGAACAGTAAGTTAAGACTTATATTAGTTCTTAGCAGTAATGGAGACATCAACCTGGCTCCGTTTCCGTGTCCACCGTCAACTACCGCAAATGTCACGCGCTGGCTAACCAGACGAATAGTAAACGCACACCTGACTAGCCACGTCCCACGCACTGAGCCATCTTGCAGCCGTCCGTTGGTCTTCGGGGATTTTGCCCTTCGAGGAAATGTGGTGATAACCAGCAGTCAATATGACGCTGCGATATGCCAGTGGCGCGTTCACAAGGAGCTTGCAGATGTGCAGCCTCATCCACCTTGTCAGTATGATCAGCTCCTTTGTAAGCGACTGCGGGCACTCCATCTGAAAGAAATTTATTTTCCTATCAATACGCGAGACGAAAAGAGGCAACAGAATTTACAAAGATATTCCAATCGTGACATGTTACACGCGGTAAAATCACACGAAAGCCATGAGGGTATCATTCAGCGGTCCGAAGCGCCTGATCTTGCTTTGACATTGTCGTTTGTCTACGGTTTCAATCATCGTAACATGAGTGTCAATCAGTCGCTTGCTTGTCTTGGAAACGGGTTGTTCGTATACGGCGCGGGTTCGCTCCTCATTGTGAGTCATGTGCACGCAATTGGTACTCGACAGCGTATTGTAACTACAGGGCTTAAAGATTCCGTGTCCTGTATCGTTAAACACTCATTCGAGCCGATTCTAGCCGTCGGAAGTCGCAGAGACGAACAAGTACTTCTCTTGCGAGTTGAAGAGATGCTTGCGCCTGGAAAAGGCGACTTTTACCACCAATTAGCTACACTTGATTCTCATTTTCTCCCTTCAAATGGAAAGAATGTCCTTATTGCGGTTGATTTTAGTAATGCGAAGGACAGTCGTCGCAATATACAAAGCGACTTAGTTGCCGCGATTTGGAAATGTACTTTGAGTCACGTACATACGTTGGCATTTTATGCGTGGAAACGACAACTTGTTATAGCGTACACGTCAATGACGCGTCAACCAGTGTTATTTGGTCGATTTGTCGGCTATTCAGAAACAGGGGCAGCCTTCGTTAGTGGAGGAATCGACCACGTCACATTTTGGAGTTTAGAGTCGGGCACAGGGTATGTGTCCGCTCAGCAAGGCATTTTTGGACGTCATGCTGTCGTAAGGACGATCACATGTGCTGTTTACGTGGCTCCTTTTGTCATCACTGGAGTAGAAGATGGCTCAATTGTTTTATGGGAAAATAATGTCGCAGCTTACACCGCTCGCTCATCGAGTACCATGGATGGAAACGGAGTTGTAGCATTGGAGCATATTCCAGCGTCTCGAGTGGTACTGGAGGCCCTACGCAATGGCTCGTTGGCAGTTTGGCGGTATACAACGTCTCAACGATTGACAAAAGGAGCTATTGAGTCAAGAAGCCAAATTCGAGCCAGCACCTTCTTGAACCTCACTCGAGTTGTATCGGTGTTAGACGGTAAGAGCAATGACACGCATGTGTGCGGAATGAGTTTATTGGATGATGGTGCTATAGCCTGTTTTGATTTAAGTACTGATGAAATTGTCTCTGTTGATCTGGATTCAATACTCGACGACAAAGCGCCAGAGGTCCCGGGTTTAACTATACCGCCTAAAGTCAGCAACAAAGGAAAAGAAGTCTTAAACTTTAGCCCTGAGATTATTGATATTGCACTTCATCCGCGAGACTTCCTTTGGGCATCTGCCTCCGCTGATGGTCGTGTATCTGTGTGGAGCCTTCGTGCAACTACCCTTTTACAGCAGCAATCAGTGCGTAGCCCGCCACGTTCACTAGCCTGGAGTTCGACCGGAGAACACCTCGCAGTGTCTCTCTCGAATGGTAAAGTATTTATTTTCCATGGCACGACGCTAGAGAAGGTACTTGAATTTACTTGTGGTGACCCGGAGAACGCATCTGCAAATTCAAATTGGTGCAGTATTCTGAAATACTCGCCAGCTTTCAGTCACAACGGGTCAGCTGTTTCTCGTAGCTGGTTGGCATTAGCCTGTCGAGACTTCGTCATATACGTTTACGCCTGGGAGTCGACGGAATCGTCACCACCTTCTTTGACTTTGCAACACAATTTTGTTGGCCACACAGCGCCGATCGAGGCTTTGGACTTTTCATTTGATTGTCGTTTTTTGCAGTCTGCAACTTCCAGTAACACCATGCAGCTTATGCGCTGGCCTTTACAGAATGATCTATCGTTGAAGGAGGAAAAGTTGGATGGAACTGCAGTGGAATGGACTCTTTCAGATAATGCGTGGGTATCATGGACTGTGACGTTTGCTGGTCCAACTGAAAGACTTGCAGAATACTGTGGTGTGGACATGGTGGCGGCAATTGCGCGCATCAACAGTGATACACTGAACAAAGGAGACTTCGATGGAGCGGTAAACACAAATATGTGGGAATCGCCATTACCCACGATGGTGATCGGACTCGATAACGGTCAAGTGATGCTGGCATGGTATCCTCTCACGTGTGAGGATGTCATGGCTTCAGCCAGTCACGATCAATTAAGCAGTGAAGCTGTTGCTGTGACAAAAAAGTGCTTGGGGTGTTTTTCACGCGAATCAACCATACTCCGCATCGGGTTTAGTTTCACAAACGCATTTGTCGTGGCGCTAGCGCGAGACTCTTACGGTAGTACGCAGGTGGCGGTGTGGAAGACCGACTATGACGACGAGGTCCGTCTACGGCAACGGTTCGCCTTAAAAACAAATGCAACGTCAACGATGGGGTTCAACAGACCTGATCGAATCTTATTCGAACAACGCTTTCAAGCTCAACAGACAAAGAGACCAATTTCGAGGCATTTTCCAGATCGAAAAGAAAGCAATCACGAAAGGCATGTGAGACCACAAGTACAATCAAGTGGCAATGGGAATATGTATCTCGAATATGTTTATGGAGTAAACACTAGCGCCACGGGCAGTTGCAATGTCTTCTACGCTGACGATGCGTGGGAGATTGTCTATACAGCCGGGGTTTGTGGCGTTGTATATAATACCAAGACGCAGACACAATTAATCAATTACGAAACAGGATATAAAGAGCATAGAGTCATCTCGGCGCTAGCAGTACATCCGAAAGGTAATTTGGTTGCGTCAGGTGAATGCCTCGCACGGGCTTGTGGCGTATCTCAGGCACCCCAAATCATAATCTGGGATGCAAATAGCGGCATTACTGTTCTACGTGTATTATCTGAGCACTACCCGGGTATTTTGCTACTGAGATTCAGTCCCGAAGGACATCGACTTGCATCGATTGGCATGGAGTTGGATCATACCTTGGCTATTTACGCCATTTCAGGTAGCGAAATTCAAGGCGGTCGACTCTGCGCGACGTTGCTAGTGACGTGTAAAACGTCTAGTCGAAGAGTGTGGAGTTTAAGCTTTGGAGACGATGAAGACCTGGCAGTTTGCGGGGACCAACACATTCTCTTCTGGCAGCAAGGGAAAACGAGTTCAAGTGGCGAGGAGACGTGCTCGAAAGGATTGAAAAGTGGGCTGTTAACAAGCCACAAAGAGTGCGATCCCCATGCGTCACTGCTTCAGGTCGTGCACATGGCTGGCCGGGCGCGAGTGGTGGTGTCCAGTCAAGCAGACGGTAGTATCTACTTTTGGAAAGACCGCGTCTGTGTGCTTGTTCGTCGTGATGCACACGGTAATACCGCCGTTCCAGCTTTAGCCGTGGATCATAAGCATTCGCTGCTTTATTCAGCAGGAGATGATGGACGCATCTGTGCATGGAACGCACAGCTCGAACTGGTTCGAATTGTGGTGGACATTGCAAAACTCAATATTGGCCCACTTCCGCTAAGTAGTACAAATATTCAATCGATTTGCGTTCGCGACGAACACGTTCTTTTTACTACTGCACAAAGTGAAGTGTGTGAGCTTCTGCCAGTGCAACAGAAGACGCAAGGATCAAGCGAGAACGAGTGGCGTCTAAACGTCCATGTTCGTGGTCATGCTAATGCTGAAGTGTCTAGTCTGGCCGCTCATCCGTGTAAAAGCGCGCAGTTTGCATCGGCCGGTGATGACGGTACTGTGCGTTTATGGGATGCCACAACACGGTCGCTACTAGCGTCCTATCAATGGTGTGGTGCTGTAGAGTCCACGATGGGAGCAGGACGCGATCAGCGACTTCGTGCATTGGCATTTTCCTCTGATGGCAAATATATAGCCGTTGGTACGGATATCGGAGTTGTGCGAGTGCTGACCGCAGCACTTGATAGTATTGTAACCCAATGGAGTTGCTGGCAAGATCAGCATCAAAGTCACGCAATTTTAGCGTTGCAGTATTCAAATGATGGCAAGCTGCTGGTAGTGGCGTCTCAAGACGGCACGATCCACACGTACGATGCTACCAGTTACCGCCGAATTATGAGAGTGCGAGGATCGACACTGAACTTAAATACAATTCAACTTGACTTTGCTCGTAACAAACCAATACTTCGTGTGCAATATAACGGTTTGCAACTTCAATACTGGCAACTTGGCTCATGGGAAGAATTGTCATTCGTTCAAGTCCAAGATGCTCACTGGGAGTCGATGCGTTATCCGTCTTTGATTAATAATACAATGAACGAAGACTTTGACGGCACGGTTTTAGTGGAAGGCACTTCCATTTCTTTAGTCAAAAACTGGGCTGTTACCAAGAATGAAATGTATCTGCTTTCTTCTGCTGGCGTCGACGGTGTCATGTACCAGTTTCGCTTGTTACCTCGTTCAACTACAGTACGATATTCAACAAAATAACGGAAAATTAAAACATCTTTTTTCTTAAAATGGTCCATCATGAAATATTGTAATCAATGCGTCATATATCACTTTTTGTAGTAAGTACTCTTAGTATTACGGAGAAGTCACGAAAAACTGCAATGGCTCAAGCATAACCACTACGTCATTTCTTTATGAAAATAGTATCGATGAAGTGAGTATCAAAGGTTGCGATGACCTTAAAGGGCACGTCAAACGAGTGAAAAGACAAGAAAAAAATTCAACGAATAGCTCACAGCTTTCCATGTGTTATGCTAGCCAGCAATAGTGGCACTATTACTCAGTCCTCATAGGCTGGTTGATAAAGATCACTGATACGTGCAGCCCAAGCGAGGTGCTGATCATTGTCGAGCTGTCGAAGTGGAGGAGAAGATTCAAATGTTTTGTGTACATAATGCTGCGGTCGAGTCGTAGCGGACATACGACGCGACTTGAGAAAACCTGAAGGCCTTCGCTGCCTGTGTAGCAATCGATTGATACCTGGTGACACCTCGCAGGTGAGCCAATACGGTTCCGACTTCGGATGTTTTGTACTGTTTGCATCATTTGTACGCCCTTCCTGATTCGATACAACTTGATGCACAAAATCGTTCATACAAATGCGATGCTGTAGTTGAAGTGCTCGGTCTATTGCAATTGTGTCACTATTATTCGTGGCGATCTCATCTGTCTTCATTTGGCTGAAATACGATGGAGGATCACAAAGATATTCGTCTTTCCAGCCAGAGTCAACGCAGTTTTCGTGGTGCAAACCAGAATTAGTCGCAGTTGGTATCGAGACGGTCTTGTGCTCGTTAAATAGCAACTTAAAAGGCATGAATGCATCTGATTTCTGTGTCTCTGTCTGATAGTTTCGTCTTGATGATGACTTTTGTTTATCTGTTCTGCTTACCGACGACAAAATATCTGACGATTTGCTTGATTCACTGTCTTCGACGAAATTGTAGGGCTGTGATTGAGAACACAAACTTTTGCTTCGGTTCGTATCTAGAGGTGACAACAACACAAAAGATCAGTTTATAGTATATAATAAAGTTTGTGTCTTTCCTCACCTTGCGATTTTGTTGAAATATTGTCAGAGCTAAGTTCAGCAATTTGCGTGCTCGACATCTTCTTAGAGAAGCCAGCTTTGAGCTCTAAAATTAACGGTGTTGATATCCAGGATGGTGATGTTTTAGAATATGGCGGGGGGTATTGCAATTGCTTAGTGTTACTATCGGTTTTGCTGCCAACTTCGTCAGATTCAGAACCCTCTGGGTACGAAGGTAACAATTCCGAGGAATCATGTAAATGATGTTTATGACGCTCAAGTTCGAGATTTAGGGAGCTGGCCATCGTATCGGTGTTTGCAATAACTTCGGTTCGCTGGACATTCTGGGAAGCCTTAAGGAAATGTAGGAGCTTATCGCGCATAGCCGCATCAACGACGAAATTGTTGTCGAGCTAGCCATGAAGAGACGAATCGATTAATGATACATGCAGTTAATCCACCAGAGATAGGCAACTTACTAATAGCCGCACACTGTCATGGCACGCCACAGCGGCAAGATATGTGGCTTGGATGGCAGGATCCAATGCAGATTTCTGGTCAATATTGCGTTGATTTGAATAAAGTATTTGTCGAAGTGAGGTGATTGCTTTTTCGAGCTGTTGTTGTAGCTTACTATCCTGGCTCTCACACTGATCGCCAGTCTGCTCTTGAAGCTTGTTAAAATAACTCTTTGCCAGGACGTCGCTGATACCGAGCAACTCCCCATCTTCTCTTTGATCTAAAGTGATCTCGTCATCTCTTGAGTCGTTGGCTTCAGGTGTGGATTTGAGTGTCAATTTAGTAGAAAGGCTATCTCCTTTAGCTGACTTTTGTCTAGCTCGAATATTTTGCTTTGGTGGTGGTTTGATAGGTTTCATAGGTTCAATTTGAAGTCGCATCCTCTCTGTTGACAAGTTGTTGATAAAATAGCGAAAAAAGACAAGTCGCTGAATACACACGATACTGGAGAGCTTCGACTTCGCCATTAATTCAACCTGATCAGCAGTAGTCAGGACTTTGGTATGACACAACGGCTTTCGGTACACTATAGTGCACGTACCAGCGAAATACTCCTAAAGTTATTGCAATTCTCGGTTAAAATCGTAGCTTCCTTCACAGCGATGCAGTTAAGCAATTCGTGCACAGCCTCTGAAAATGTTCCCACTTCATAATTCAGCTTTTGATCGCCTTCCAATTGACAGTTTGAAAGGTGTACTATCGCAGTTTGAAGCTTAGCGGATAAAGGCATTAACGTAAGTTGTTCTTGAAGGTTTCGATCGACAATCACTAATTTTTCCTCGTCCAAATGTCGTCTCGTTATCCTCATGATGAGGCTTCGAAGTCGCGACAGTTGACGAAAAGGAAGGAACCAGCTTGCTTGCAGATGATCATTCATCGTGATTCCTTCGACATACTCTCCACCCTCAAAGTCCAAAGGAGTTGCTATCGTCTGCTTGTAATTGTTCGTGTTAGAGAATTTCAGATCTTGAAAGTCAAATACCTCGCAAAATAAGAGTTCGAGCTCCCTCTTCGTTATGTAGATCCCTTGATGTAGCGGTTCCTTGAAATATTCAGCTTCTTCAAAAATTGCAGCATGAAGTTGACGAAAAGATTTGCACATTTCGCCAAGCGCTTTCTTCGTGCATAATCGAATTTGTGTCAGTGAGAGCCCAACTTTTTCAAAGGGTGAAGGAACTAAGGCTTGTTTTTGAAATCGCTTGCCACGAACGACTCGGACGCGTTTTGCTGCTACTTCCTTCAGAGCTGCAGCTCGTACTATCCGCGCTTGATGACGTCGTTGACTTGCCTGGATATGTTGATCTAGCTTTCGTTCACGCGCTAGTTTTGCCTGTAATGCGCTAGTTGAATCATCGGATGATCTGGTACGATCAGTAATCGATTGATTGTCTTCTTGATAGTATTCTTTTTCATTTTTGTCATCTCCAAAACGAGGTCCAAATATTTGTGCCCATATTGCCTTCGTTTCTGGTGCAAAGCTCGCCGTTAACGAATCCATGTAAGTCACTGGAAGTAATGCAACATCATCTGGCAATTCTTCTTCTGTCGCTTCAAATTGAGATGGAGGTTTTGCTAGCTCTTGGTGTTTCTCCTTCGTTAAATCGCTAGAAGCAGTGCCACTCAACAATGAGACCGTTAAGTCAAACATACATTTTGCTACGCCCGGCGTCTCAAATGAGGTTGCGGTAGCATTTTCGTGAAAATTCTTCACAACCATTGCTTCTTGACCTTTTTTCTCAGATTTCGCCCCAATAATGTCACCGGTTGCTAACGTCCTTGTCGACTCTTCACAGGCTTCAGTTCCACAAATCACGCTTTGTGAGCTTGCTCCAATATGAACTTGAGAATCCAAGGAAGAAATCACTTCGACATCAAATTGATCTCGGATTGTCTGGGGTACAATATTTGCACGTTTCGGTGCGTATTCGTCCAACATTTCGTTGGCTAGATTTTTTTGGGAAATCAATTGATGATTAGGTGCAACTGAAGCCGTGACCTGAACATCGTTACCATTGCTATGACCTGATGTGCTTTCTATCCTTGCGTCTTCATTCTGGTGCTCGGCGCTCTTGTAGCTATAATTCATTAACCGTTTTTAATGCTTGTTGCTTAAAATAATCACAAAATTATTGTATATGACTCCCGAAAAATAACTAATTATACACAGTATTCAGCAAGTCTTCAAAATTATTGCCCTAACGTCGAAATCACCAAAAGGTATTGCCTCTTTGTATCATCAAATATTGACATAGATCATTCTGTTGACGCCTCTGGAAACGGCTCATTCGTGAGCAGGTAGCGCCAGATCAACCACCCGAAGCATTCAACGTGGAGCGTCACACGATGACCATTGCCAAACATGATTACCATCGATCCCGTCAGCAGTGGCGTTGACTTGGTAGTCCACGAAATCAAATAAAGATTCGAAGACGGCGAAAATGGCTGAATGTCAAACTCCAAGAATCGATCACCTGGTGGCAAGCGGAACAGCCATCCCCAAAACGACCGAATCTTGCCTTTGTTGCGCATTCGCAATGACGTGCGCCAGAAGTCTTTGATGCTTTCGATGCCATAATAGCAACGAGACGGCATCGACACAGCCAGTACTGAATTTAGATCCCAGATCGAATCGGCATCTAGAACAAAGTCTTTTGGCAAACTTTGCGTAAAAATCTCTTTAATTTTCAGCAATATGTCAATCTGAATACCACGCGTCAATGACGTGCGTTGTTCGTCACCCAATTCGGTTTTTCTTACAAGCATTTGTGACAACGTCTGGTTTTCCGCAGCAAGCGATTCGGCTTTCCGCTGCAGATATTCCAGTTTCAGTGCCTGACGCTGTCGACACTTCTTGACAGCGGCACGATTGCGTTCACGCTTTTGTTCAGAAGAATAATTCATGCTCTTGCGCCCACACCGGCGCTTCAAATGCGTATCATCTTCCTTGTCATCGCAGGGCATATAGGCTGCATTTGCGGGTTGATTTGTACTACCTGGTGTTGAGGCACCAAATTTTGGTGATTGATCCAATCGCTGTCGTTTAGATATTTGGAAACGAGTCAACTGATCGAAATTCTGCCCGCTCAACTGACTGCTAATCTCCAAATTATCCTCACCTAGAAGCCCATAATTGTTATGCAAGATAGAAGGGTTTGGAGCAACCTTTCCGTAGACTACTTGTCCATCCCGCTGTAAGCCCACATCGTTTAGTGCCCGTTTGCTCGCCATAGTCACTTCCTCATCTACTTGCAGTGAAGTGTGTGGTCTTCTCAGTTTCTGCTGATAAATCCGATCTCGTACTGGCAGCTGTGATTGAGCGTACTCGCGAAGTCGTGACATTTGTGTATCTGGTAAAGTGTTCAGTTCTTCCGTGCACATTTCGAACATGGCTGGCTCCAGTGACATTTCGTCTAATTCCGAACCCATTCCAGGGCCATGAAAACGTCGATTCTGTATACTTCTCGCTGAAGTCTGACGTACACCTCTATCAGAGGGCATGTCAAATGACACAGGAGAAATGGTTCTTTGAAAAGGATGACTTCTGCGTGGAATACGATGCGTCGAGTCAAATCGCAAGTCGTCTAATGGTTCTTGTCCTCTGAGATCTCGGACATACATGTGTTCTTGATGATTCGACACCCGTTTCAATGGATGCATATGAAAATCGCGCTGCATAACGTGCTGATGTTGCTGATAGCGTTGCATTTGAAATTGGTGATGCCTTGGATCGACATCGTAGCCCATTTGACAATCTCTGGTCCTTTTAATGTCGTAGTTTTCCCCGTCCTGCAACATGTTAGGGTCAAGGTCCAGTTCGCCTCCTTCAAAGCTTTTCCAATCTCCACGTACGGGAACATCGTCTCCTTTCGCTATTCTATTGCGCATTTCCATAGCCGACGCAGCTCGTGAATCCTCGTCAAGATGCCAGTCGTGAAATCCGACCGATGATTGCGTCTCCACGGCTGCGACACAAAAATCGTCCCAGTATGTAAGAGATAAATATAAATACCTTAACTGACTTTTTAACCAGCCAACTACACTTGAATCAGATGGAAACGTACGTGGAAGAAAGCGGCATGACGCTGGTGGTTCTCGATTCATCGTGGAGTGGCCTCGATTTCGACGCGATATAGGCTGCAGCGTCTTCACCAGGTCACTAGCGGACAGATGCACGTCGCTCTCATCCTTGTCGGCATTTGAGTCCGTGTCCCAGTGTGATACGTGCCGGTGGCGGGACATGACGCGGTCGGATAAATGGTACTTATCAAAAACACGAGCGAAAAAGACAGGGGTTAAGCGAGATGTCGCTGAGTAATCCAAAAAACTTTGAGTAACAACTAAGCCAGCAGCGAGAAGAAAAAAAAAGACATTTCTCGAGTTCAAGACCTTAAGAACCGGATTGATTTTTATTTCTGACGTTTCTAAATATGTTAAGCTTTTGAGATTACGACCAGAAATAGAGAACGATGGTGTTTAATTGTAATGTTTGCTGTCATCAAAAATTTTGCAAGCAATCGTTGCAGATGCAGTTTCGAAAGTTGGTAATACAAAGCTCTTGTCGACCTAGAAGTATATGCTTCAGCTTTCCTGTTGCGGTGTTTCGCGAAATGTTGTGTTCAGAAACGATACATCTTTATAGCGTGAAATCGCGTTAAAAGCTTACAACTTTACAAGTACAATAAATTTCGGGAAACGACACTTCCGATGAAGCACTACTAGGTGTATTGACAAGGAAATGGTTATTATCAAGACCCCAATGCGTATGGAACAAGCCGTGAGCGAATCTACTTTTATCTGGGACCAATATCTGTAACCCAACAAAACTTCGCGTTGCTTCGGAGCGCTTCTTCTGTATCAATAACATCCTTTTCGCACGGTTTTGCAACATAACCTCCTATAAGATGTTTTAATACTAATAAGCCGAGCCACTGATTCTCAGTAGCTCAAAAATGAGCAAGATGGTATTAAGACATAAAAAGCAATTCTATGCTCACAGCTTGTTAGTTTGCTGAAGTCAAGCGATGTAATCTTAAGCATTTACTGTAGTAACACGTAACACGCACTTCCAGGTCAACATTTTACAAGTATCGCTGCTGCTCACCAGCTGTTTTACGTAGTCGGGACGCCTTGTTCCAAATTTAAATCAGAGCTTAACCAATTCTTTGAAGCAGGATATTCGCATCGTGGAACCTGCTCGGGTGATAGCCGCGCGCTGCTGATCGCAAGTGATTGTCGTACGATATGTATAATTCAACTTATCAATATTATAAAAGGCTAGCTTGCACCTCTTGCGTGAATATCTAGCTGCGACAACGCAACGAATTATTGAATTCTACTGAGTAGCCGTAAATCGGAAATGGGTCTGGGAGGTGACAAAGTGTGCCAGAAATTAGATGACTTTTATATGGAATAGCTATGCGATGTGATTTCTCTGAGAAGTATATCCATTAACAGTAAAATTTATACTTTTCGCTTAGAAAATGACTCCACATTCTGATACTACCTTCAGAGCGCATCATTGAGTCGTTAAATTGGTTAGCAAAAAGCCTTTGCTTACGTATGACTATGAACGCAATTGATGTATCTGGCGACTTAAAGTTTACTACCAATTATGTCTGCTACGGTTATCATCAATTCTCAGCGAACAAAATGTCGAATGGTACTCCCAACATTGCAGGCAATCAATTCGAGCATTGTAACACGTGTCCGTTTCGATCAACCTGCTCTGTTTGTACCTTTAGCTTTTCGTCATACGAAGGCTATCATTTGTTCAGTACATTGCAACCGAATCAGATAATAATTTATCTAACTTGCTGAATCGCCTGATAAATGTACAGGCATGCAAGGGAAAATCTGACGTAGATGCTAGCATCAAGACATCATTTGAATGAAGCAAAATCTCACGTGGGTGGACCAGTAGAATGCAATACAAATTGTTTAAAATAGAGAAGCTCTGATGCCGGATCAACTCGACGCAATGAAATCGACGTGTTCGGTCGGTGATGCCTGTCGAAAATATTTATGTAATATCGTACTTCTGTTCGAGAAAATGGATGGGTAAAAGGTGGTTGCTGCCAATTGATATAGGCAGTACGTGTAAATTTGGGCACTTTCGGATATATTTTATTGCCTACCGCTTCGTTTTTGCTTGACTACACTAAAACGTACCGTTGCGTATGAGCTGAATACAACAATGTAATGAGTGCGTGCACCATAGTAAGGATCTTACCCTTACATATAGCGCTGTTTTGGTGGACCGAAATGTACGAATGCGTCAGCACTTTGGCAAAATATGTCAAGGAATGAAGCTACGCCGCATGCTTTGGCGACTTCAGCTAGCCTATAATTCCGGGGGATCTGGCAATCCATCCATTTTTTGGTCTGGCTTATCGTTAGTTGGAGCAACTTTTGATATACAGCTAAAGCTATTACATTTTTACAAGTAAATCTAGTACGACGCAATATATCCGGAAATCTAAACCGTAAGACTGTTTCCATTCTTCCAGAAATCACCTTCAGCAAATGATGCAGAGCAGGCGATTCAATTTAGTTCCATATCCTCTTCAACTTTGATGTTGACGGTTAATTCAAAAGCGTGACGTTTTTGAGCTCAAGGCGATGATCATTGTGATCATGAAGTAATTGACCGCAATGGCTTTGTGGCCACACAATCACTTATAATTCAACGCAGATTGTTTGGCCTGCTCATCGAAAAACCAAAAGGTTTTCGAAAACATATTTTCACTTCATTTACAGTCGCGAGTCGACTTATAGAAAAATATAAGTATTGTTATTTCTCCAGCTTTGATGGTACTAAAACAAGTTTAACACCAAGTGAAACCATATCGTTTCCGATGTTTGTTCCTGTCTTGAGAAATTGGTCCAATTCGATATGCCTCAAATGCTTAAATTCATGCCGACTTCAATATTCTTCGGATCTGCCGATAAGTTCATGTCCGAGCATTTGATTAAACTGTGTCTTGATGTGATTTAGATACCGGCAAACTTAATATGACGCGTAGAGTTTCGTGTTGATTTCTTTCTATACAATGCTTCTCCCAAATTTCGGTCCTACTATAATCTCTCCAATTATTGATTAAGCAGTTATAACTCAGGCTTGCTCCGATTTCACTCGTTAGACAATGGTCATTGCCTTAATTAATGCGACTAACACTGAGCGTGTCGAGTAGCATGTAACTGTTTCTGTCTTCGTTGGGGTTTAGTACATTGTTTTGGCTCACACTAATACCCGGAGTTCTTGCCGCGTAACTCATTCACATGCAAAAATTAAATTCGTATCGGTGCCCTACTGTACTAAAACAATGTGTTCACAAAACCCACTGGTATGATTTTTATATTAAGGCAGCGCAATTTCAAAGATAGCTCTACGAGTACCCACAGAGCCGAGATTCACTGCTCGCCGACGATACAACCAGAAAGACGTTCAATGTGGCCGACGTCAAAAAGCAATACAAAGTGTTCTCTGGTGAGAAAACTCGTACTGAGTCTTGGCACACCACCTGAGTCTCATCCAAAAACTACACAGCCAGGTTGTTACATGTATGCGGCACCTCGACGTGTCCTACATTCAACCTCACCCTTGCACAAGTTGTACACACCACATAAAGCAAAGAATATTAAAACGCCCTACGATGCGGTTCACGAGAGGTTTATTCCAGCTCGTTGCTAAGCAATTGGAACTTTATCAGTTGGCCGAGTTTGCTCGCGCACGAGTCGCGGTCACCTTTTGTAATGCATATCACATTGCGACAATGAATTTGAATGTCTGAATTCACCGGGAGCTACTGTGCACCGCGGCACAGCCCAAGAATAGTTATGTGTGTGTGGACCTGCAGCTAACTTCAAATGCAAAACTTGCACCCGAAGGTCGCACCGTCGTGACCCAGCAAGTCAACTCGTTGAGTGGATGCTCACATATTGGTCCTCGTAAGCGATTGCGGCTACAGCAGCGCATCGGCTCTGTATGATGGTCGCAACGTACGTCCGATGAAAACTTGGGCTATCTGTCAGACTCGTTCGCTGTTCAGTCATATCGATTATCTTTAGTGCTTCAAGCCGAAAAGCTGCTTTCAAGCTGAAGATAACTCACCTGCAGGAACCTGTACAGTCGTTACTTCGTCTTCAATTGAGCACTTTGCGTCCGAGTGGCTCATAAGAAAAACTCCTACTTCGGCTTTTGTAAGTCAACATATGCTCGCGTTTCCTTTGCCTAACTCAGAGCATAACACAATCTGGCTACGATCGTACGAGGGCCGATGTAGCGAGTAAGAGGCTTAGTTTTAAATTTGCGGATGGGACAGTTGTCAACGTCTGATAAAGATTTTCCACCAACCATTAATTCATGTCATCTGCATGTTGCCTCCGCTTACATGGAATCACACACTTAGTGCATGGTGCTCAATTTACCAAAAAGCATATATTTTGCTTGAAAGTTTCGGGCCAATTCGTTGGGGGCCTAGGAGCATACAATAAATATTCAAATTACTTTTTTTATGTAATGTGGGTTAAGCCTGTAGGGGCGAATACTACGTTAGGAGAGAAAGTCGCTCCGATTTTGAGGTCGCTCTACGCAAAGCTCAGGTGTATATCCACCTCAACGCAGCTAACACTTTACATTTGGCCATTGGTCTGTGCTTAGTCAGAGTTGGGAATTGTGGACTGTATTTTTTAAAATATGTTAGTCTAGTTCACGCGCAGTGTGGGCCACAGAGGACATGTTCATCCAACCTTGATCAATGTTCGTCTGTTGATGATAACAAAAAGTGTTAGTATTACCAAATACGTGTGTCAGAAGACCAATAAAAGCTGATGGACTGTCTGGTGGCTATAACTTGGTCAGCTGCGTTAAGTGCAACACCGCTCGCAAAGATATGTCGCTTAAAGCGGTTTGGCTGTATATACATGTACCTTATTATAAATGTACACTACTAGCCACTTGCCGCTAGCCATTTTGACATAAAAGGATGGCACCGAAAGATAATTCTTACCAATTCTCACCAGACCAGCTTTGTGCGTTGCAGAAAAGAAAGAAAGCATAACTTACGTCGCATTGTTTTCTTGGTAAGGAATACTACTCTGTGATGCTATATTTTGAGCAAGCTCGTGGTGCACTGATATAACACGCCTGGAAGGTCTCTTGTCACCTCGTCGTGTTATTTTCAACAAAAAACCTCTTGTCACCTCGTTGTGATATTTGTAACAAAAAAATTAAGATCCGTGTGATTGATGAGGCAATTGTCCATTCTTGCATCCAGCAGTCTGCAAGCAAATTCATTTATGATGTGCTGAAAATTTTTGGTCAGTTCTCTGACTAGTTGAATAATTTCGGTGACTATAGCCTCTTGAGAAATTTTCAAACATCTCCGCGGAAAAGATGTCCAGATCAATAAAGGCTCCAGCTGGAGTAAAGAGGGTATTCCACAACTTCTAGGACTACTCGGATAACTCAACATTGGAATAAATCATCATTTCGCCACAAATATGCGAAGCCTCACAGCTTCGCACGGTGGGAGCGTTACATTGTGTGATGAATCATTTATATGCTACATCATAATAAGGATGAACTATCCAAAAATGCATCAGGACTTACAATTCATAGTTACGCCCCTATTCCAGCAGCTCTAGCTTAGGAGACACCACCTACAACTGTGACTGAACGTCCGACCAAAAAAACTAAGATACGCCGCAGTTTTAATATTTCTCAGCAGAGAATCAATCTCGGGACCGCGATATACGTGATCGCTTTTCGTTTTTTTTCTAAGTTAGTGGCTATGTTGTTCTTTTGGCTCCCGAAAGCGGCTATGAGTACCTTACAACATATATGCTATACAATTTGGAGAGTCTCACGTTCAGCACTGATGTTATCGTAGCTTTAAATTCTCGTCTGAAGAGGCGTCTCTGCTTTCTAGAGGAGGAGGATACATGACACGCCAAGGCTCCACTAGAAGAGTAGTGCACGGCACCTAACTCTTTTGACTTTCATAGTTCATGGTGGCTGAGCCACGTTATACCAACGATACGGTCATATCTCGAATTCAAGTTCAGGATCAGACGGTAATCCACCCTGTCAAAGTCTGCAAACTGGACCTGAAGGCTCAAAAGAGCGAACAACAATACCCGCGCGAATCTATATTCGTATCAAGCAATGTTGATGCCTCTTTGTACTGTATGCTGTTTTGACACTCGCATGTCCTATGCAATTGCCAACACTCTTACATCGATCAGGTATTTATGACTTCGCAAAACCCAAAACGTTGCTTTTCAACATCCAACAACATTGAAAAGTGAACCTCTTTCTTTGAAGTGGAGCCTCTCCGATTAAGGAGGAGTACTTCTGACCACGACCTTCACAATGTGCAATAAAACACAGAATTTTACCAGCAGGCCACCCTGCGTGTGACGGGGTACACATACCCATAGTGTAATGGAGTTATACGTACCCTCGTATGAAAGAGCATAACCGCTTTAGGGTGTGGATTACACAAGTTGGTGTGATCACACGATGGTTTGGCTACACCGTAACAAGAAGCCACTATGTGGCAGGATAACCTGATTAAAATGCATAACTGTTAGCAGTACTATTTAACTAGGAAAATCTATAGTCTTAGATATCGGATCTTTTGCCGCAAATAAACAATTAAATACAGTTTGAATTTCGAGCGGAAGAGTGTTGTCACCTTGGTTAGGGATATAAATACTCTTGAAGGCAGCGGATTGCGATCCGCTACACTCGTACTGATTCTAGTATATATCGTAATAGCTTTCTCTAAGATAGGAGCCACGGCAGCCCCGCTGCGCTTGGTAGCACTTGTAGTCAATCTACGCCTGAGTCGTTACGACTGATCCTCTATGAGGTTAGAGCAATCTCCTATTTGCCCCCGGGCATGCTGGACGGGCTTAATAAGCTGATGTCCCTGTTGTGCCCTGAGGGTGTGGAACACATTATTTCACAACAGCCCGAAGCGATAAACGCGCGCCTAGAGGCAATTTCGAGCTATGAAAATGCTCTGTTAGAGCACCTTCAGCAAAAGCTGTCGGAGTCGACTGCGTCCATGACGCCACCTTCGACGACGAATGACTCCTCCCGACCCAGGCCGCTCATGGTGAGCATCAAGACCTTTGAGAGCAAGGATGGAGAAAATCTCGTGCTTTGGGTACGAGAGGCCGAGATAGCTATGGCATTCGCCATGCTCCAGAACGAGCAACAGCGCGTGGCGCTAGCTATCTTCAAGGTCGAACGCCGAACGCAATAATGGGAGCTTACGTGCGGTGATTTGGTTGAAGCAGCGTTCCCTTCCTGGAAGGAGCTGAAGCGTCAGCTTTTTCGAGTGTTCTCGCCGCATAACCAGGCATATCGCGTGCGATCGCGTATCCTTGCCGCCCGACAGAGCAAGAAGCAGTTGATGAACTTTGTCCGAGAGTTGCGGACTCTCATTGCCGTGATGGCAGCCGATCCCCTCACTAAGGCGGTCGCAGTGACCGTTTGTTGAAGGCCCTCCACACAGGCGTGGCCAGAATGGAAGTCTTCCGTGTGCGTCCGTTTTCTTTTGAAGAAGCAGTGAATGTGGCATTGAATGCCAAACGCAACAAAAAAACGGCACGACTTGGTTGGAATGCACACCCTCAGAGCTCGTCGACCGGGCCTGAGCTAATGGATCTCAGCTATGCTGAAAAAGAGGAGGGGGATCTCCGAGCTTCCGACGGTGTTTTGTCTGTGGGGACACCCGTCGCCTTCGGACGGGGTGTCCCCTGCGAAAGGTGCGTAAAGGTTCATGGAACCGACGTCCCACTTCTAACCAGTCTGGATTTTTGCGGGGAAACGAGAAACTCACTAGGCGCGGGTGAGCTGCTGGGGAAAATCTGAGGTCTGTTGTGCCTCAAAGAGGTAGATGGCTGTAGGGTCCAGCCCCAAAGAGCTCCGTGCTCTTGAACACGGAGTGTGTATGCAAGCCGGGCTTGCTGGTCGTAAAAGTGACCATGAAGGGCTTTAAAAGTCATGGAAGATCCTAATCGATTCCAAGTCGTCGGGCGATTATGCTCGGCGCTCCGCAATCGATGGTAGTCAGCTTTATGCTGAAGCGCTGAGAGCGCGGTTGCGTGACACCGTCACTGTTAGCTTAGCGTTTGGAACTTGTGTCACTGTGCCGAGGGTCCCTGTTGACCTCGTGGTCTATTTCTTGACTTTGATAGCGTAAAACACTGCTTTGTCTTAGACTTGGATGCAAGGTATGATCTTTATCCTTCATATGGCATGGTTGGAACACCATGAGCCATGGATTGATTGGAGGTCGGGGACCTTGGGCGCCACGCGTACGTCTCCTAGTGAAGCTTTGTGAACCATGAACCCACATCCGATAGGAAGCAGAAGCGCTAATGGTGAGAGCTCTGGTCCCGAACGGTCAATGTGCTGGATATCGGAGTATCCGAGTTGTCAAACACCGAAGGAGTATTGTGGGTTGCGGGCTGAATGTGGAGTGGCACGTAACCCACTGAGCCCTCTTGCCACGTTACGAAGCTGTTGCTGCATGCCAAGGGTGCCATGGTCGGCGAAGGTCCGAGGCATCTTGGGCAAGGCCCTTCTAATGCGCGTGAAATGGCACGATATCCACTGGACGATGACTGCATAAATAGCAGCTCTTCGTCGGATGTTGTTAAATACTTCAAGGCTTCGGTCGAGCAGGAGTGTGGACACTGGACGACGCTGAAAGCGTATATCAACTGGTCTCGATGAGACGTAGAACCTCTATCGAGAGGAGAAGGTGATACCGCTTATTATCTGCAAGACGCAGGGCATCGAACTTAACCTAGGGTGTGTCTACCGTCGACGATAGTGCACAGGTATATACCCTTGTCAACGGTATGACAGAACAGGAAGACGGCGACGTCGCCCTCAAGGCTATTCCAGCGGTGAATATCCTTCTTGAGCTGGGCGAGATGTCCTTCGAAGAGTTTGGCGGTGCCTTGAATACAGGCGATTTAGCCGAGGTGGTCATTATGCGACCGAGCGAGGAGAATAACTCGTCGTCACTTCTGGATGAAGCTGTCCTGGGGGACACCAAGAGAGTGTTGAACGCACGAAGTGGATTGTTGATCTGGAAAGATCCCTCGGATCCATACTATCCTTTGGTAAAGGAATTTCAAAATGTCGTCTGCCGTCGGTCCTACCTCCGGACCGAGGTATGCATCATGAGATTGACCTGATTCTGGGAATCAAACATTGCGTAACACACCTTAGGTCATTGACGCCTTTTCCACGCGAAACACGATGCAGGAATGGTGT